AAGCCGGTAAGAAATGACAATGGTCCAGTCACAAAAGTTTTAGTTATAGTGGAGAGAATAGATGATTCATTGTCTCAAACCTTTGACACTAGTCTGTTGGGCAGTTGGAAAAAGGCAGATGAAGATGGTTTACCTTATTATATAGCAGCTGAATTGGATTATGATCGTCCAGGAGATAATAAAACTCGTAAATTTATAGTGGGAGATGGTAAACGTTATGGTCGTTATAACAATCCTCCCTTGGATAATAAAAATTCGGATTTCCATGTCAGTTTGGGTGTGGTGAGTATAATTAAATTATAATTTTGTTGAACGTTACAATCTTAAAAAAAAGTATTTCATTTATTACGTGTTTATTACACATTTATTTTAAACATCTTTCTATTGCAGGTCAGCACTCTCAATGGCATTACCAAAACCTTATACACCCGCAGTAGTCACGACCAGCATACCACCTCTATGGATAACTTTACCTATGCCACCTTTGAGGCGGGACAAAGTTCGGTGGTGGCATTAATTGTCACCTGTTCCATTTTTGGCATTTGTTTTATACTCTCCGTCATCACCTATTTCTATTTACGCTACAAACAATGTCAAATACGTTCGGGTCGTGGAAATTCTCATGAAATGACCATGCAACAGCCCATAATTGAAAGAGAAAACAATGGTTATGTTATGGAAGATGAAATGCCTCCAACAGTTGAGAATTTCAAAGAACAATTGAATGCTCTGGTGGATAAACTGGATGTGACTAAGAAAATACCAAGAAATAATTTGCGTATGAATGTCAATGATGTTATAGCTGAGGGAAATTATGGTGAAGTTATAACGGGAAAGCTTTTAACCAACAATTTGCCAGAATCAAGTGCAGATTGTCAACTGCATGTTTTGTCCTTGGATGAGCTAACCAGCACAGATCAGGGCAAGTTACTGCAGGAATTTCGTAATTTAACCAAATTACAGCAACATTCAAATCTATTGGATTTTTATGGCGTGTCTTCCAGCACTGATTGGTTTTATTTGGTGTTTGAACATGAAAATGTAACTCTAAAACGTAGACTAATAGAGAGCAGAAGAGCTCCCAGTTCTGCCATCATGCAACGCATTACTGCCCTTTCCGAACAATTAATATTACAATGGATTTATGAAATTGCCAGTGCCATGGATTATTTAGCTAAATCTAAAGTTATACACAAACATTTATCATCACATTGTATTTATGTTACGGCTGAAATGAAATTGAAAGTATCGGTATTTGGTCCCACCCCCTATGTGAATAATCAGAAAAAGATAGATCTCACCAGATGGCTGGCACCAGAAGTTCTTAGATATCAACATTATTCCTCAAAATCGGATGTTTGGTCTTTTGCTGTAGTGGCCTGGGAATGTTGTTCATTGGGTGCCACACCTTATGCACAAATAAATAATTCCAATAAAGTTTTAGATGCTTTAAAGAGTGGTTCACGTCCGGCACAACCTGCTTTTGTCTATGAAGATCTATATCAAATGCTATTGAACTGTTGGACTTTGGAGCCTAGTGAACGTATTAATTTTGAAGATATTGCCTTTAATGTGCGTCAATTAATGACTTCACCACGTCATGCTTTAAATTTTGATGCACCCAAAGAACAGGCCGCTAACGATGTACTCAATTCATTGCCTTTCTATTTGCCCATGTTGGAAATGGAGAATTAGTTGAAGAGTCATTCTTTTAGAATAAAAAGGACATATGGAAACATCACGTTTTTTCCCTTTATAAGCTTTAATCGTAATTATAATTGTTTAAAAAGATTATTACAAATAAATATTATTTAATAATAGTTTAGCAGTAGTTTTGTAAAGAGAGTGTAATTTATGTAAATAAAAATTATTGAAAAATCTTAAACAATTTAAAATTTTTTTTTTTAAATTTCAAGGTACAATGTAATGTTCTTCAGAAGAACCTTAGCGGGTAATATAATTAAACTAGATTATAGGTTAGACTGGACTATACACTAGACTATAGACTGGACTATAGACTAGACTATACACTAGACTATAGACTAGACTATATAGTAGACTATAGACTAGACTATATAGTAGACTATAGACTAGACTATATAGTAGACTATAGACTAGACTATAGACTAGACTATAGACTAGATATAGACTAGACTATAGACTAGACTATAGACTAGACTATAGACTAGACTATAGACTAGACTAAAGACTAGACTATAGACTAGACTATAGACTAGACTATAGACTAGACTATAGACTAGACTATAGACTAGACTATAGACTAGACTATAGACTAGACTATAGACTAGACTATAGACTAGACTATAGACTAGAATATACACTAGACTAGACTATAGACTAGACAATAGACTAGACTATAGACTAGACTAACAATAGACTAGACTATAGACTAGACTAGACTATAGACTAGACTAGACTATAGACTAGACTATAGACTAGACTATGGACTAGACTATAGACTAGACTATAGACTAGACTATAGACTAGACTATAGACTAGACTATAGACTAGACTATAGACTAGACTATAGACTAGACTATAGACTATAGACTAGACTATAGACTAGACTATAGACTAGACTATAGACTAGACTATAGACTAGACTATAGACTAGACTATAGACTAGACTATAGACTAGACTATAGACTAGACTATAGACTAGACTATAGACTAGACTATATAGACTAGACTATAGACTAGACTATAGACTAGACTATAGACTAGACTATAGACTAGACTATAGACTAGACTATAGACTAGACTATAGACTAGACTATGACTAGACTATAGACTAGACTATAGACTAGACTATAGACTAGACTATAGACTAGACTATAGACTAGACTATAGACTAGACTATAGACTAGACTATAGACTAGACTATAGACTAGACTATAGACTAGACTATAGACTAGACTATAGACTAGACTATAGACTAGACTATAGACTAGACTACTATAGACTAGACTATAGACTAGACTATACCCTAGACATAGACTAGACTATAGACTAGACTATAGACAGAATAGACTGACTAGACTAGACTATAGACTAGACTATAGACTAGACTATAGACTAGACTATAGACTAGACTATAGACTAGACTATAGACTAGACTAGACTAGACTATAGACTAGACTATAGACTAGACTATAGACTAGACTATAGACTAGACTATAGACTAGACTATAGACTAGACTATAGACTAGACTATAGACTAGACTATAGACTAGACTATAGACTAGACTATAGACTAGACTATAGACTAGACTATAGACTAGACTATAGATTAGACTAGACTATAGATTAGACTAGACTATAGACTAGACTATAGAATAGACTATAAAATAGACTATAGAATAGACTATAAAATAGACTGTAGAATAGACTGTAAAATTGACTATAAAATAGACTATAGAATAGACTATAGACTAGACCATAGACTAGACTGTAGAATAGACTATCGACTAGACAATAGAATAGTCTGTAGACTAGACTGTAGAATTGACTATATACTAGACTGAATAGACTAAAGACTATAGACTAGTCTGTAGAATAGACTAGAATAGAATTCTATAGACTAAACTATAGATTTGACACTAGACTAGACTTTAGTTAGATCGGAGTGCAATAACAAGTTCCAATTCGAAACCTTGATGTATTACTTAAACTCAACGTAAGGCTAATAATTTCTTTCAATAAATAACACTTTATCTAACTTTCAAATTTCCCAAAAACTTCAATTTAATAAACCATCAAACAATTTGTTACTGAAGTTTTTATATTTTCTCTACATGTTTGATTACGAAGATTGTATATTATCAAAATTTGACAGCTAAATTAATGATTGCAATAACTTGGTAAAATTATTAAATATTATATAAAATACAATAAATATAAATGCAAGATAAAAATGTAAGCGATAATAACCTAATATTCAAAAGAGTAAAAGTGGAAGTGATTAAAAATCACAGCTATAACTAACTACCTGTTGTAGTCTATCTAGTATATAAACAAATGTAATTAAATTCATATAGACAGCTGTGCTCGCTGTTTGTATAAGTAAATAAATTTAAACAAGAATTAAAAGAAATTTATAAACTTTGAACCATGATATGAAAAACACGTAAACAAACACGTAATAAGTAAAAAATAAAACAATATATGAAGTATTTTATTTAATATGAGTTCATTTTATTATAAAACAACAACAATATTTGCAAATTCAGTTTTTATTTTTGAGTTTAAAACAATTTTGTTTCTTTTAGGGAAATTTTTGTTGATAATTCATTATTATCAATATGATTTTTGGCCCATGATAGTCAGTCGACAATTTCAAAACAGTTCTTGTTGTTTTATATACAAAGGTACAGTTTAATAATGTTAAAATAAATGGCAGCTTAAAATATATTAAAAATATTTTTCATATTTTCATTAAGAAATTTTGTAAATTAGGAAAAAAAAACCACCCATTGACGACATACCCACAATATTCAATAAAGACTTTAATGATTTACGTAATTTTTCATCATAAATATTTTGAAATTTTAGGAAAAAAAATTAATATTTTTAAAAGAAAAGAGGAATACAAATTGATAAACAAGCCAAAAGAGGTTTCCCAAGTAATAAGTATAATTTTTGTTGTAACTTTTGCAAAAAATTTAAATAAAATTAGCCAAACATTGCACAAAACTAAAAAATAATCATTAAAATGATGATGATGATTAAACAAATATGTATAAATACAAAAACACATACATATAATATAATTTTTATTTTTAAATAAAAATATTAGATGAAAATGATTCAATAGATTGAAAATGTGTAAAAGAAACAGGGTACATTTGTTAAGGAAAATTTATAAATTTTTTAAAAATATTTTAGCTATAAAATTTAAATTTAAACTTCACTTTAAATTTTTTTTTTTTTTTTGTTTATTTTGTATAAATTTAAATTTAAAAATAAGAAAAACTTTGCACCTTTAGTTTAACAAAGGTCTTGGTTTTATAGATAATACTTTTCTATACGTTTAGTTTTATAGATACAGTAGAATTTCAATTGTATTGCATTTATATGGCGTTTGATAGCTTTATATCTTTTAATTGTAGTAGTAGAGTAAAGGTGACACAAAATTATTAAAATATATTTTTATTATTATAATTTTTTTATTAACGACCAAAAGCGTAACGATTAAACAAAACGCGCAGCCCGTACAAAATACTTTAAATACATTTAACAAAAAAAAAAAAAACAAACAACAATAAGAAATAATAAAATGAAACAAATGTGAATTTTAAAAAATAAAACCGATCGTTTGAATTCGAACGAACAAGCAACTGTTCATAATAGCTCGATACATTGGGAACTAAGCGTTTTGCAAAATGTTTAATGATTTCGAAGTATGAGAAAGTGAGAAAAAATATATCAACCTCAAATAGTATACAGTAGTTGGTAATGTTATTAGAAACAGTTTTAAAATTTTTTGCAAAATATTCGTATTTCGAAATTATTGTGAAATATTGCTGTATATATTTTTTAATTATAACAAAAAGTTGTTTCAAATTTCGAAAATATTACAAATATTCAAATAATGACAAAAATTTTAAATATTAAATTTTTCTAAATTTCGAAAATTTTTTTAATGTTTGACATTATTTGTAAGTTTTTATTTCGAAAATATTAAATTATTGATATAGGCTAGGTTATTGGAATAAAGAAATTGAAAAAAATATAAAATATTTGAATTTTTCGAAATTATTGTAAAATGTAGAAAATTTTAAATTGTTGCAGAAATTTCAAAAAATGTGTTCAAAATTTTCAAATTATTTTAAAATATTCAAATTTTTGATATTATTATAAAATGTTCGAATTTTCAAAATTATTGTAGAATATTCGAAGTTTCTATATTAATTTTCGATTTCAATATTATTAAAAAATAATTTTAAATTTTCGAAATTGTTTCAAAATATACGATTTTTCAAAATTATTGTAAAATGTTCAAAATTATTCCAAAATTTTTGTTTTCCAAATTTTCAAAATTCAAATTTTTAAAATTATTGTAAAATTGGAAAAATTTTAAAATTTCAAAATTATTAAAATTAACGTAAATATTACAAAATGATAGAATTTACAATATTATTTAAATATTTAAGTTTCTAAATTATTTTAAATATTCGAAATTGCAAAATATTCAAATTTTCGAATATATTATAAATTTTAAAATTTTTTAAAATCTTCAAATTTTTTAAATTATTTCAAATGTTGGATTTTTTTTATGTTTTTTAATGGTTACTATATCTATGACAAATACTGTTTCTTAGCTGTCCCACAAAATACTATCGAAAGCTAATCATTGCTGAATTTTTTTTTTGAGCACAACACACTACAAAAACAATAATTATACGATAAAAAAAAACATATTGAAAAAGCTAGATTAGCAACTCAGAGAGTGAATAAAAAGAAATTCAAAAATTAGAGCACCTATTTCTTTATTATTATTTGAATAAAAAAAAAAACACCTCATTAGTTAAATGAAATTTAGGAAAATAATTCAATATAAATATTGAACAGTAAGAAAAGTCCCAATAAATATAAATTATCAACAATTAATTGGTTTAAAGGTCATTAATATGCTATAAAATAATGAATACTAAAAGAGAGAAAAGGTGAGACTAGCTGCGGAAGAGAGCTAGTGATAAATATTCGAAATAATTTGCGATATTTAGTTATTTGTTTCTATGTTTTTGCTTGTATATTTAATACAAAAATGCCTTAAGGTCTGCGGGGTCTTATCGTATTTTGGCAATGTTTAGTGGACTTACATTTGTTGTAGCTGTTTTTAGCTTTTGTGGGAAAAAGATCATAATATTTGACAGTTGGAAAAGAAATTTTGAAAATTTATATACATATATTTTTTTCTATAAAAAATTGAGCTATTTTGAGTAAATTTAAAAATATACATATATTTTTTTACAAAAAATTAGTCACGTTTTGTGGTACAAAGAATGTTTTTATTTAAATAAACAAGTAACAAAACGATGATGCTTTAATTATGTCAATATTTAAAAAAGTAATAATTTAAAAAATGCTCTAAAAGTAAAAGGAAGAAAATATAAAATGTGTAAATTAAATGTAAACTAACACCTTAAAAAATTTAATAGTTAATTAAATAATATTTTCTGTCATTATTTTAATAGCTAACAGGTTTAAAGAACTATCCATAACTTTGTTAAGCACTAATTAAATACAAATAAAGTGTTTTTAGGTCTACTATCACCAAGTTAACAGCTGTCAAATAACAAGTTGTGTATGATTTTTATGAGCAGAAAATACAAATGCACTTGATAGTATACTTTGTTGTCCAGTTCAATACCAAAACTATGATCGATTTTCTTATCAGTATATATAACAGATGTTTCAAATGATTTATGTATGTTAGACTTTTCTAATGTTTAACAAACCATTTATTAAACTGATAAGAAATCAAAAATACACCTCAATTCCACGAGGTCGAAGTTTGTCCACTTATAATTATGTGTATGGAAAAACTTCAAGGTAAAATAATATTTATAAATAAACGCAAAAGATAATTTTAGGCCAAAATATCAAATGCGAAATAATTGTAATGTTTGCAAATATTGGACATTTATAGCAAAGCAATAAACAAATAGCCAGCCAAACTTTCGGCCAGGTATTAAAGAAAACAACCAAAATAGTTTGACAAAACCAAATACACATAAAATACAGATTAGGCTAAAAATATCAGAAAATATTTGCGGCCATTGAGACAAATAAACTAAGAAAAATTTTGTGTCTAAACATCAGAAAGACAGACGACAGCTAAACAATGTCGTCAACAAAATTTAATGAGACGTACTACGTACTTTATTTTTTTCTATATTAATTTAAATAGGGCTAACCCACTGAAAAAAAAAAAAAACACATTAATGAAAAACTATTTTTTTTTTGTTTGTAAAATCCCAAAGGATTTGCTGCTCACTGTAATTAATATATTTTGTATTTTATAACTTTGCCCCTTCGCCAGGGAAAATTTATTTTTTGTATAATTAAAAACACCTCAAAAAAAAGCTGCAAAAAACTTTTTTTCTCGTCATTCCTCCACATCAATGCAAATTTTACGAAGAGATTTTTTAATTATTTTTCTTAAATTTTAAAGAAAACTTACTTGTTAGTTGTTGTAAAAAGTTTTGTGACAAATTAAGTTTAATTAAAAGTAAAAAAATTGTAAATTACAGCAAAAGAATTGAAGAATTTTTAATATTTTCTTTTTTTTTTTTTGCTAAATTTCACACCAAAGTTTTTTCAGTATTATTCTTGTTTTTGTGTACAGCAGAGCCCTGCGACGACAAATATTAACGACGGAGGTGGCTGACTCTTAAAATACCGTGGCGGCTTAAAAACGCCGTTCAATAGTTGAGTGAGAAATTATACAGGCATGGAAAAAAATAAAATAAATGGAAAAAATTATTTTTTTTTAAATTTGATTATATTTAAATCAAATCCTTTCAAATAGTTTTATGAGGATCGGCCTATATTTTCGCAGGTTGTTAAACTATATAATAAAATTTTTAATAATCTGAAAAATATTTTATTTTTTTTTAAATTTAAGGGAAATTTGTAATACGCTATTAAAAACGCGCCTCTCAAACACCTTTCGCATGATATCAAAATTAGTTAGCATAGCTTTAAGTGAAATATAAATAAAATATGAAAAACTTTAAAAAAGTTTCATTTTATTATTTGATCCAGATCTCCAAACATTGGCCTAAGGACAAACATTTTGACTTAATTCGGTATCTGTAATAATGGAGTTTCAGCGGTAACGGTAGTGTACTAAAAATATGTTTATTTATTTATTCAGTAATAAAAAAGCCAATAATATTACATAGTTCTCTCTGAATGTAATTTTATTCTAATAAATTAAATATATATTTTTATATTTTTTCGGTTTTAAAACCGATTCCATTTTCAGAACAGACATCAGTAATTTAATAAACCTAAGTATAAATACAAGATGTAAATATTCAGTAAATTTTATGTTAAAAACAATCAAATGTGCTCCCAGCCCAAAAAATTTTTGACGACGCGGGCTTTGACATTATGTTCGGGCGGCTAGGCTGTAACGGCTTAAAGCTGAATCTGCGCGGGTCTCTGGTGTACAATTGTACCGAGTTGCAAAGAAAGTAGTATTAAAAAAGAAATAAGAAGAGTTGTATTGGCGCGTATTAAATTAAAAACTTTGTATTTTGCCATCCTAAAAGTATGCTTGTGGTTGTTAATATTTTGGTTGTTATTCTGGTCACAAACCGGAAATTGAAAAGAGTATTATATTGATGAGAGGCAAGAAACTAACTAACTAATTAACTAACTAAGTAATTAAATAACTAACTAACTAACTAACTACTAACTAACTAACTAACTAACTAACTACTAACTAACTAACTAACTAACTAACTAACTAACTAACTAACTAACTAACTAACTAACTAACTAACTAACTAACTAACTAACTAACTAACTAACTAACTAACTAACTAACTAACTAACTAACTAACTACTAACTAACTACTAACTAACTAACTAACTAACTAACTAACTAACTAACTAACTAACTAACTAACTAACTAACTACTAACTAACTAACGAACTAACTAACTACTACTAACTAACTACTACTCTAACACTAACTACTAACTAACTAGACTAACTAACTAACTAACTAACTAACTAACTAACTAACTACTACTACTAACTAACTACCTAACTAACTAACGAACTAACTAACTAACTAACTAACTACTAACTAACTAACTAACTAACGTAACTAACTAACTACTACTACTAACTAACACTAACTAACTACTAACTAACTAACATAACTAACTAACTAACTAACTAACTAACTAACTAACAACTAACTAACTAACTACTAACTACTAACTAACCTAACTACTAACTAACTAACTAACTAACTAACTAACTCTAACTAACTAACTAGACTACTAACTAACTAACTAACTAATACTAACTAACTAACTAACTAACTACTAACTAACTAACTAACTAACTAACTACTAACTAACTAACTAACTAACTAACTAACTAACTAACTAACTAACTAACTAACTAACTAACTAACTACTAACTAACTAACTAACTAACTAACTAACTAACTAACTAACTAACTAACTAACTAACTAACTAACTAACTAACTAACTAACTAACTAACTACTACTAACTACTAACTAACTAACTAACTAACTACTAACTAACTAACTAACTAACTACTAACTAACTAACTAACTAACTAACTAACTAACTAACTAACTAACTAACTAACTAACTA